TTTTTTTTTTTTTTTTTTGGTAAAGGAAAAGGATACTGAACAGAGTCCTGCCCCTTGCTCCCCACTAAGGTATTCGACTATTAGATCTTGATCTGTGATGGTTAAAAAAACAAATCTGAATCTGTGGAGTTGGGGGTGGGATACATCTCGGTGTATCCAATGATCTGTTAAGATTTAGGAGTGACTATTTAAAAAGAAAAAAAACAAACAGAAGGAGCCCTGGTGCTGCAGTGGTTAAGCGCTTGGTTGGTTAAGGTTGCTGATTGGAACCCACCAGCCTCTCCAAGGGAGAAAGATGTGGCAGTCTACTTCTGTAAAGATTCACAGCTTTGGAAATCCTATGGGGCAGTTCTACTCTGTGCTATAGGATTGCTATGACTCGGAATGGACTACATGGCAATGGGTTTTATAAAAAAAAAAAAAAAACCAAACCCGTTGCCGTGGAGTCCATTCTGACTCACGGTGACCCCATGTGTTACAGAGTAGACCTGTTCCGTAGAATTTCCTTGGCTATAATCTTTACAATAACAATAATCTTTACAGAAGCAGATCTCCAGTCCTTTCTTCTGCTGCACCACTGAGTGGGTTTGAACCGCCCATTGTTAGATCAGTTGTTGCTGTTAGGTGCTGTAGAGTCGATTCTGACTCACAGCCACCCTATGTACAACAGCACAAAACATTGCCCAGTCCTGCGCCATCCTTACAATTGTTGCTATGTTTGAGCCCATTGTAGCAGCCACTGTGTCAGTCCATCTCATTGAGAGTCTTCCTCTTTTTTGTTGATCCTCTGCTTTACCAAGCATGATGTCCTTCTCCAGGGACTTGTCCCTCCAAGGGCTGTCCAAAGTATGTGAGACAAAGTCTTGCCATCCTCACTTCTAAGGAGCATTCTGGCTCCCGTGCAAACTATTTGCACCAGCTAGCCATTCTCTTCTCACAATGCCTCAAGTGTGGGGATGTGACAAGACTTAGAGAGAATTTGAATCTTCAGCTTCTGTGTGATTAAACCCACTAAAAGTCTAATCCATTAAAGTATTTGGATGCCTCTGTGGATGGTCACCAAGAGTTGGAATTGACGCCATGGCAACTGGTTTGGTTTTGGGTTTTTGTTTTTTTTTTTTGAGGGGGGAGGTGGCAAAAATTTCACAAGAGGGGAAATGCCTCTGAAGAATGATATTACAAAGAAAAGGGAATACTCCCCTGCTCTCAGAGTAGCATCCTAGTGTCTGCATTCCAGGTAGTGCAGGGTAGGTAGCAAGGCCCCAGCAAGGTAATGATTCTGTGGTAAGGGGAAGCCATAGAAAGCCTCAGAAACATTCTCAAGCTTCAGGGTTGCTCCGTAAAAGCAAGGTGATGGGAATATCTGCAAATAAGGCATAGCTACTGAGAAGAGAAACTTAAAATCCAGGGATACAGGGTGCAAGGATAAGGGGTAGTTACCTACTACCTCCTCCAAAGGGTAAGACAAGGGAGTGTGAATTTACTAGGATTTTCCAGATTGTAGACTGGAAGTTCAAAATATAAAAATCTAAGTGTAATAAATTTACATTGCTTAAACACCTGAATTTTTGAACTGAGATTTTATACCCGAGGTGGTATGTGTATAAGTGTCCCAACAAAAGTGCATAAATGCACAGAGCAGAGTTTTGAGAGACAGAATTTTCCAGGAGAAAAATTTTCAGGCAGGCCTAGTTGGAACTCTGGTAGAGAGAGCATTCCAAAAAGAGGAACATCATGTCTAATAAACAAAAGTGTGAAACATTAAGCTTTTTGTTTTGCTTTGTAGTCCCCCCCCCCCCTTGTGTCTTTATTAGAGAAGTGGATCAGGAAGTATAGTGACAGAACACTGATCTGGAGATCGTAAAACACATGATGAGCATGGTAAGCCAGGCCTAGGAGCTCAACCTTTATCTTGTAGGCAATGGGAGAAACGTGATCAGGCTTCCATTTTAGAAAGATTATTTGAGGAGGATGGGTTGCAGGTGTTTTATAAAACTCAAAGCAGGAAGACCAGTTAGAAGGCTGTTGCAAACTAAATGATGAGTGTCTACACAAATGCTGAGGGGAGAGAAGGATTAAAGACATTTAGGAGATGGAATAAAAAGGGAATGAGTGACTAGTAGGTTAGCCTGATGAAGGAGAGAGGGGAATTAAAGAAGATTATGAGGGTTCTAATTTATAAGACTAGGGACCATTAATCAGATTAGGAATAACAAGTAACTTAACAAGTGAGAGGATCAGAAAGGGGGTAATGATTTATTTTTGAACATGTCTATATTATACACCAAGTGTCTGTCCGTGGTACAACCTGCAGACCAGGGTTTCTCAATCTTTGCACTGTTGACATTTGGGGCCAGATAATTCTTTGCTGGGGTAGGAGGAGTGGGGGAGGGGAAGAGGCTATCCTGTGCATTGTAGGATGTTTAGAAGCATCCCTGGCTTCTACCCACTAGATGTCAGTAGCACCCCCCTGCTCCCCACCCCCAGTTGTAAAGGCCAAAAATGTCTCCAGATTTTACCAAGTGTTTCTTGAGAGGGTAAATTGCCCCCCAGTTGAGAACCACTGCTGTATAAAGACGTCTACAGGAGTATAATCTGCGTTATGCAGATGACACAACCTTGCTTGCTGAAAGTAAAGAGGACTTGAAGCACTTATTGACAAAGATCAAATACTACAGCCTTCAGTATGGATTACACCTCAACATAGAGAAAACAAAAATCCTCACAACTGGACCAATAAGCAACAT